CCCCCCTTTTTACTTTTATTTTATTTAAAACTCTAGTTGAATGGTATTATTATGATTTGGGAGGCAAACTTTATTTACTGTTTTTCTTATGAAGATAATTTTTTTTTTTTTACTGATACTTCTCCAAAGAAGAGTTTTTTAAAAGAGTTAATACCCTAAAACCCCCTTAAACTATAACATTTTTGTCAGTTTTTTACTTAAACTATTCAGTGCTCCCAAAAACCCCCTGAACTATATTGTCCTTCGTATTAAAACTCTCTCGTTGCTGACCTGGCATAACGTGTGCAAACACTTGCTTGGGAGCGCGTGACAGCTAAAAAAAGCCATCAAAATGGCTTAGATGATAGAAAATAATGGCTAATTAGCCTAACCCTCTTTCACATTTAATTCTTTTAATAAATATTCTCCATATTTTAGTTATATCCACCTTTCTTCCTTATTTTTTAACCATTTTTCCATTTTTTTACATTTCTTCTTTATTTTTCACCTTCTTCTTCATTTTTTAACCTTTTTTCTTCAATTTGCCATATGGGTTTCCTCTGAAAAAAATTTCTCCTTCTCTTGTTTCCTCTGAAATGATTTATTCTCTTTCTTGTTTTAGTCTTCTTTCATTTCTTACACATATTGTTGAAAGAATACCAATTTAAATATTCTTATTAAACTCAACACCTTGTAGAGAATAAAGTTGAATATCTTGAACCTTCTTTACGTAATCTGAAATTAGAGAATGTAATTGTATTTGTTGGCCAATTGAATTTTTATTTGCGAATTTTTATTTTGTGTAATCCTTTTTAAGTAATATAAGATGATTTTTAAGAAATACTATATGCCTTTATTTATATTTTCTTGTGCTACAAAATGAATATAAATGACTTATTTAATTGGAGTTTACATAAAGCACAATCACAATTAAACCTAAAATTAACATACTGCATTAATATTATTTTGGCCAAAACTCATAAAATTAATCAATCATCCCAGAATAATACATAATGGGTAAACCGTATAAAAAACTCTTTAAAACTCATAAGTTAATATAGTTAGACAGACGCAATATGGGATTTTAATATATAGGGGAATATAGTTCAGGGGTGTTTTGGGGACACTAGATACTTTAAGTAGGTAACTGATAAGATGGTGAGAGTTTAGGCGGGTTTTAGGCTGAGTTGAATAGCCACGTGTAGTGCTACATGGCACACTTTTTGAGCGTGTACTACACGCAGCTCTAAGAATGCAATGAGGGGTTTTTAATATAAAGGGCAATATAGTTTAGGGGGGTCTAGGGACACTGAATAGTTTAAGTAGAAATGCAATGAGGGGTTTTTAATATAAAGGGCAATATAGTTTAGGGGGGTTCCAGGGACACTGAATAGTTTAAGTAGAAAACTGACAAAAACATGATAGTTTAGGTGGATTTTAGGGTATTAACTCTTTTTAAAAATAAAAAGTTGTGATTATTTTATATTTATATTATCTTTATAGTAGTTTTTAAGCATGCAAATTTTTGGACGAGTTGTCCTTTAAAATATGATTACTTTTACTTGTATTTTTGTCATTCATTTGCCATGAAGCATGTTTCTGGAAAGCGTAGTGGGGTGCGACGGGTTAGTTTTTTCCAGTTATCTTTGTTTGAGGTTTCACGAAAGACTTCAATTAATACAATGGGTCCAAGATAACTTATCCTATAATTGAATCTAGTCCAGGACGGTCACGCAATCGTATAAAGACAAACTGATTGTCGGATACAGACAAAATTAACAAACCGATTCTAGTTGTAATATCTTTTTCGTCTTCAAAAGATTCCTATCCTCATTTCTATTGAGCTGCTGAGTTACTATTCCCTATTCCCTTGTGCCATTGGTGTAGTTGATGATGGCTGATATCAAAGTAGATATGGCACAGCGTGACCAGCAGCAGCATGTCATAGTTGAAGCTCCAGAAATGGAGAAACAAGAAGTAAAGCCTCAAAAAACAAAGCGAGTGGCTTCCCTTGATATTTTCAGAGGCCTAACTGTTGCAGTAAGTTTAATTTGGCCATCTATTTCTTCTTATGGCTTTCTTGGCCTGGACTATTGAAACCACCAAGGTTCTCTAAAATAGACTCATACAATAGTTGTGATAACAATTAAGTTTTGGTGTAAAGGACTCCTGCACTCATGGTTTTTATAACAATGGCTGCGAATTTAGTATATATCTATATATTTTTATAAAAAGAAATGTTGATTGCAATTTACACATAAAACTCGAGTCCAACGGACTAAGGATTGCAAGCTGTATCTGCGTAACCGTAAAGAGGGCAGTCAGATTCATATTTCTCTCTACACCCTAGCATTTCTGCTGGAGGGTAGACAGATACATATCTTAATTTACTTAGGATAACAGACTGAATTGGACTCTCTCAGCTTGACTAAGCTTATTTCATTTTTGTCTTCACATAATCGCCCATAGAATAATTAAAAATGTACGCCTCTGATGCCTCTGATTTACATTGACAAGTTAATTTTTCTTTTGTTCGTGTGCGAGTATTGAGCTATCTTGTGCTTAGTGATGTGACTACGAACGTATTTTACAACTAATTTATACTCGCTTATTGTGTTTCCAGAGTATCCGTAAACATGTTTTAATAATAATCTACCCTCCTCCCAACTTACATACCAGACTATGTCTGCGCAGGATTCACTTCGTAACATGCCCAAACCCACACATAATATGTTGTTTCATTACGACTAAACCAAATCCTCAAGGACAAAACTTTTAGTTCTATATATATGTATCAGCGAATCCACCTCTCTTAGTGGATTATGTAATTCAAGTTTGGTATTGGATGTCAAAGTTGTAGGCTTGTAGCTTATTGGTTACCTATTGTTAAAGGTTCTATGAAATGTTGGAACCTGTCTATAGGATTAAAAATGATCCCCCAACATCTGGAGTAAAACATGAAAGGCATTAATATCTTATTTACACTTGACATCTGGAGAGAAAAAAACAGTTGAAGCCCGCATGCCTGAGAATTGAGTTTGTTTTAATTTGAGAATTATGTTCTCTTTATTGAACACTAGATGAGAATTTTAGGAACAAACCAAGAAGTATGTTCTCTTTATTCAACACTTGCATAGTTTTGAGAGGCGTTACTGTGATAATTCATTCTGTATCGTGCTTATCAAAAAATAAATGAAGATATTCTGTATCCTATTTGTCCTGTAGAAGGAATTTCAATATTATCATTTTTTCATTACCTCATGTATAATCTTAAGAAGTAGTTTTCTTTGTCTCATTATTTGGTTGGACTAAATTATAGTAGTCTGCTAAATGTATATGGATGTAAATCAAACATCATCATTGTAGCCTTGAGAACTTGCTGGGGTTTGTCGAATTTGTAGCTGATGGTGTTGGTTGATGATGCTGGAGGAGAATGGCCTATGATTGGGCATGCACCATGGAACGGTTGCAATCTTGCAGATTTTGTGATGCCATTCTTTCTGTTTATTGTGGGAATGGCCATCGCACTTGCTCTCAAGGTTCTCTCCGCGTTTTATTCCCATTTATAAGAATATAAACTGAAGTAGTAGTTCCTACTCATTGGTGCTTATTCTGTAGAAAATACCAGAAAAGCTAGTGGCCATCAGAAAGGTGATACTAAGGACTCTCAAACTTCTGTTTTGGGGCCTCCTTTTACAAGGTCAATTCTCTTTCTTTCTTTTTCTTTTATTCTTCCTTTTCAATTTGCAAAATTAAGGAGATATGCATTCTATTGATATCCTATATAGCATAGAAAATCTAGGCCAAGTGTTAACAAGCTTCTGATTCTGCCAACTTTTGCTATTGCAAACTATGTATTAGCTCGGATGAATTTACAAATCCTTTATCCTTTCTAATGGCTATCTATCCCAGACCATGCCATATTTGGAATTTAGCCATTCATTCAGAACGAATGATCAGTAATGACATTTAGTTGTTAGCTTCCCTTTAGGAAACAGAATTGTGTTTGGCTACGGATAGAAAGTCTCAGCCATGTGGTAACTGTCCTAGAGAAAAAGTCAGTGGGAATTCACTGGTCTTGCATCTCATCTTTCTTCTTCCCAAAGTCATTACGATCCTAACTTCATCTTGTGAATTGTAAAGGGGGATATTTCCATGATCTTGACAAGCTAAAATATGGTGTCGACATGAATAGGATAAGGTGGTGCGGCATTCTCCAGGTAACAGTATTTGATCCCACCCCCTTTTTCTGAATGCTGTTATCTTGTATTGGTGATAATTTTTCTGCTTTTTATCTTTCTAGAGAATTGCTCTCGCTTACTTGGTAGTGGCAATGGTAGAAATAACAACAAGACAAGCCCAACCCAAGGAACTATCAACTCGATGGTTCTCCATATTCAAGATATACTATTTGCAATGGTGAGTATTATTACTTAAAGTGGTGATAGCATTAAGGTTCTCCAAGTTAGAGCTGAACACATTCTCCATTATTTCAGGGTTATTGGAGCGTCTGTTTTACTAGTTTACTTGGCCACATTATACGCAACATACGTTCCTGACTGGCATTTTGTTGTCCAGAACCCGGACAGTGTTGATTTTGGGAAGACTTTAACTGTGAGTTTCAATCGTTCCACGTTCCAAATTCACCTCTAATATTTTTTTCCGTTACAAGTCTAAGAATTTGATTTTGGTGTTAGGTTACTTGCAATGTGAGAGGAAATTTGGATCCTCCTTGCAATGCAGTGGGTTATATTGACAGACAAGTACTTGGAATCAATCACATGTATTCGCGTCCTGCTTGGAAGAGATCTAAGGTATTCGCAAAAAAATTTCTATTCTCTTAATTCTTGTTCTTCTTTATCAATCGTCTATTTTTGATGATCTTTCATTTCAGGCATGCACTAAAAATTCCCCATATGAGGGACCTTTTAGGGATGATGCACCATCATGGTGTTTGGCACCTTTTGAACCTGAAGGAATTCTGAGGTAAAAGATGCAAATATTGACAATTCTTTAAACTGGAAATACCTTTAATTTTGGATACATTGATGCCTACTTGCTAATGTTCAAGTTTCTTGTCTGGTTTATGGCTAAAGCTCAATTTCTGCTATTCTCTCTACTATCGTTGGAGTTCATTTTGGACATGTCCTTATCCATATGAAGGTTAAGTCAAAATCTTCTAGACATGACCATCTCACCAAATTACAGCAAAGTTACTGATATTCAGATTTTGATGAAATTTCAGGATCACACATGCAGACTTTTGCATTGGGTTGTCATGGGCGTAGCTCTTTTGGTTTTAGGAATTATCCTCCATTTCACTGATGGTAAAATTGGAGTGGACTCAGGGCTAGCTATTTATTTTACCTCTTTTTCTTATCTTCCTCATTTTTTTATTTGGCTGTGGTGTTGAATGCAGCTATTCCTTTAAATAAGCAACTATACACCTTCAGCTATGTCTGTGTAACCTCAGGAGCAGCCGCGTTAGTGTTCTCTGCTTTCTACATTCTGGTACACTAGTAGTCTTGTAAAATCTGATCACTTGTATTATTATTCTGTGCTACAAATTGAACTGATCGATTTGGGACATTAGAATTTGGGATGTATAGACCTTTACAGCTAAATCACACTTGCCTCTGAAATGCATTATTAGGAACAAAAATTCTCAAGGTTCAAGTTGACATTCCAAATTTTCAAGTCTTATGGTTTTCATCAATGAGAATGTAGCTGGAATTTTGAAGAATTGTGTAATTTTTAACAAGAGATCTTCGGATGACAACATTCTGATGCATGATTACTGTTGCAAGATTCTCAAGTTTTTTATCCTAATCTTTTCTTTTGCGATACAGGTTGACATTTTGAACTTGAAGTATGTATTTCTGCCACTGGAATGGATTGGCATGAATGCCATGCTTGTTTATGTAATGGCCGCCAGTGGAATATTTGCAGGCTTCATCAACGGCTGGTACTACGAGGATCCTCATAACACACTGGTACTTCTTTCATTACTCTTCTCTATTTTGATATTCTGCAGTTCCTTTGTCTACACATAGTTGGTTAGACCTTAAAATAGCCATACACAAATGGCTTGATAGCAAAGTTAATTTGACAGATGAAACTGAAAGTAAATGAGATCTTGGTACTATGTTTATCCTGTATCAGTTCATTGCTGTTTAAGTAAACTGAAACTCTCAACATTTGCAGATATATTGGATAAAGAAGCACATTTTCATTGGAGTATGGCATTCAACAAGAGTAGGAACTCTTCTTTATGTCATCTTTGCGGAGATTCTGTTCTGGGCTATCGTTGCTGGCCTACTTCATCGATTTGGCATATATTGGAAGCTTTAGTTCTGATGAAACCTGCATCTTCTGCAGTACATCTTGCAGTACAAATGATTTCATTGGTTATTGCTTGTAAAATAAAAAAGAAGCAATATTTCCATTGGAATTCATGTCAATTCTTCAAGTTTATGTGAACTTTCTTGTTGAATTATCCAACAAGATAGACAGAATAGGGATTGCTTTCATCCTTGGTCTTTCTGATAAATGTTTTTAAAAAAACACTTAAAATTGAAAAACCTTTGAATGTCTAACTGCACTTGCAAACTTTTAACTAGATACGATGTGACGTTACACTTGACCCTCTGTCAATATTAGAGTCCGGAACGTGGTTCTTTTCGACTCAAAATACCGATATAGGTTAAAAAAAAACTTGGTGACCAAAGTATATAAAATGTGCTTTTGAACCGTGTTTTACCTTAACGTGGACGTTAAGGTAAAACGCCTTTTTTAATACGTTTTACCTATTTTGTGGGCCCACGAATAACTCTTCTGCGCTTAACTGACATGACAATAATTCAAATGGGTAAAACACCCTTTTAAAAAGCATTTTACTTCCAAATTTTGACCCCCCTGGATTGGGCATTGCCTTATTTAAGGAGGTTAAAGGTTTTGCAAAAATTCATTCAGAAATATACTCAACTCCTGATAAATTTTTCTTCTTATTAAATTCTCAAGTTTTTTTTTCATAATGTCTGAAGAGCGAAAAGTAAGGGTTTCATTATATTCGGGGGGGGGGGGGGGGGGGTTGAGGTTGTGGTGGCGAATAACTCAGTGAGCTATAGTTTATCTCCATAGAGTCATGTTAAGTTGCCACTTACAATGGAGTACGATAGACTGGTATCGTTGTTATGTAATAAAATGAGGTTGAGCAAACGTTCGGTGAATCTTAAAATAAACGGAAGATATCCCTACTCTGTGACCCCGCAAGGGGTTGCTTGTTACACTAAGTTTAACATCGAGGATGATGAAACTCTGAGAGATTTTTTGGGGACTCTGGATGAATACCGGGAACTTATTTTGAGAAAAATGTTGGAAATGTACGTGAAGGTTGAAGACGTTCGCAATAATGAGGTTGCGCAAAGCAGGGATAACCCTCAATCATCGGGTGGTTATTCTGGAGCAGTTTTAGCCGAAAGGTTCCGGCTGAAAGAGTTTGGCTGGATCTAAACTTATCTCCACGGGCAAATGAGGAGCGAGGAAATAATTTCTCTCCTACTTTACATAATCCACAAGACGACTGGTAAACTTTAATTTTCCTTTGTGTTACGATGTTTATTTTTGTTGTATTGAATTTTTATTAACGCTCATATATTCCACATGGGGTACCGTCCAGATATGAATTTTATAAGTTATGAACCCACGCCCAGTTGGAATCTGCGTAATTTTGGTGTGCTGGATCACGGTGGTCCATCCGGGAGTTATCACCAACATGATAATGTCAATCATGGAATGTCAACACATTACGACTTGTAAGTGAAGTGATATAGCTATATGTAATGTATTTATCAATTTGAGTAGCTTATTATTTTGTTTTTTGTGCAGTGAAAACGAGCAACTTGATAGTCCTGTCCTCACTCAGTTGCCCGTAGACGACGTATTTACTCGGGATTTGGCAGATGCGCAGAGTCAGGAAGATAATAGTGATTATGACAACAATGCCGATGAGTGTGGAGATGACACACCCTTCCCTGACGAGGGTGATGATGAGGAGGAAGAGAATGTCAAACCTGATTTGACGAGGGAGCATGCTCCACATCCCGTTAGACCAAGAGTGTACGAGTCCCACGTGTCGTTTCATTCAAGGCATATTACCTACCTTGATCATTTGCCAAGTATGCCAGATGTGGATGCCCTCACAAGGGATTTTGACGAAATTCGGACAGCAATGTGGGATGAGTCAAGACCAACGGTGCTGGCAAAGAGCATGCTTTTTCCTGATGATGGTATGGGAGTCAAGTCAGGATGTATACAAAGTTATTTGCCGTAGATGGTTTACGGGTTGTCATTGGATACTGCGTGCGAGCAAGAAGAAAACAGGGTTGTGGAAAGTGGGTAAATATATTGGCACCCACAATTGTGAAATGGACACATTCAATGGGAATCACTTCAACTTGGATGTTGACTTGATTTCTCTTAAACTGATTCCACACATTGAAGCGTCCATAAGGTACAAGATCAAAGAGTGTATTACATCCGTCCACCGGGAATATGGGTGTACTATTACCAAAAGAAAGGCATATCTCGGGCGCAAACGTGCATTTCAAATTGTTTATGGTAACTGGGATAAGTCATTTGCATCTCTACCCAGGTACATGGCCGCATTGAAATATACTTTAACCCCGGGACTGTTGTTAAATGAAAGCTTGAGCGGAGTGCAGGAATACCGGAATATATATTCAGATACGTGTTCTGGGTATTTAAACCAGCAATTGATGGTTTTGTGCATTGTCGTCCGGTAATTTCCATAGACGGTACTCATGTCTATGGAAAGTATGATATTAAGATGTTGATCGCCATTGCAGTAGATGCCAATGGACAAATATTTCCACTAGCTTTTTCCATTTGTGCCAATGAAAGCCAAGAGACGTTGACGTTATTTTTGAACCACTTGAAGCAGCACGTTGTCAAATAACGTTCAGGTATTTGTCTAATATCTGATCGGCATGGTGGTATGTTAAGTTCCGTAGAGCATTTGCCTGAATGGCAGGAACCCTATGCATACCACCATTACTGTGTGAGGCACCTGAAGGCCAATTTCCAGAAGAAATATCCCAACAAGGACTTGCATGATTTAATGTGGATGGCTGCAACTGATTACCAGGAGTACAAATTCAGGAGGCGCATGAAATCGATCCGGCAGTTAGACAAAAGAGCCTACATTGGTTGATGCGACATGAGCTTCACAAGTGGACATTGCATGCGGATGGTGGCAGACGATGGGGAACCCTGACTACAAATGTGTCGGAGTCTTTCAACGGGTTATTGAAGTCTGCACGTGGATTGCCTGTCACTGCCATGGTGCGGATGTCATGCAAACAGATGGCGGAGAAGTTTGTTGAAAGGCATAGAGGTGCATCAGAATTGATGGATAGGGGTGTTGAATTTATGCCAATACCAATGAAAAGATTTGAGAAATACAGGAGGCGAGCACATTGGCGTTCATTTTTACAGTATTGCAACGAGCGAAATATTTTTGAAGTTCGTAGCTTGTTGCGGCCAAACGCATACGCAAATATACGTGATCGTCAAGTAATAAAGTGACTAAAAGTCGGATGTCGAACCCACAAGGACTTGTGATTAACTATTAACTAAATTAGACTATCCTAATTATCTAAACAAGAATTAAACCTAGAAGTATTTGGTTCTAAACTAATTAAAATAAATAATGAACTTTGAACAGAGAAAGAGCAAATTTTTATGATATCAATGTAATGAAAACGATCTAGGGTTATGGGCTATCTAACATTCCTATTGTATTCTTCAATTGAATTGACTAACTAATTTATCTAGTTTATTGGTTGACAGGGTTAATATTGCTCATAAGAATCTGTCGAGTTCTTACTTGCCTATTCAAGCTAACCTAACGCCTATATGTCTATGGAGTTAGAATCAACAAGAACGCATTTATAATTCCTGTAAATCAACCAAGCAAGGCAATTAGGTATATGTCTATCCTAATTGCGAATCCGTTCCCCGATGCCCAGGTTCAAGAACTTGCTCTATTCAATCCTATATGTAATCTAAAATTCCCACTTTCGAGTTCAACAGTAGATTCGTAGATAGTATTCAATTGGTGATCAAGCAATCAAATAATTAAGTGCAGGATTAAATAAATAAACCAATATGATAAACTAAGAAATCAAAATCAATATCCGAATAACAATAGTCATGAAAGAACCACAACCCTAGAACGTGAAGTTTAGCTCCACATAGACATGGTAGCAAGACAACAAATCATACAAAGAAACATAAAAATTACTAAGTTTGGTGGAAGAAAAGATGAAACCCGATGAATTCCGGCCTCCACGGCGGCTCTGTGCTTTCCCTTCGTCAAAAGTTGTATAAAAATTTTGTTTAAAGACTATTTATAAGTATAGAAAAAGCCTAGACAAAATAACCAAGTCCAAGACAGAAAAGGAGACAAAATTGCCTCAAACTCGGAAAGGCACGTCGCAACGCGGAACGTGCGATGAACCTCGCACTGGACCTCGCGAGGCAAAACGTGAGGAAAATTGCTCGCCTAGTCTGGAACTTTGTTTCAGTTGCTGCAAAACTTTGGATTGCCTAACTTTTTCCATTTTTTTCGTTTCTTTGCTTTTTTTCTTTTTTTGTTTGCAATTGTCTTCAATTTCCTCCACTTAATGCTCTTCACAATTGCATAATTAATGATCCCACATTTGTAGTGTATAAAAAACACATTAAATATTTACTTTGCTCCTAAATTTTATTTTCAAAATATTTATATATAAAATAAACTCAATTAAGCATAAATATAATACAATTTAGCATTAAAACATCAAAATGTAAAGTAAGTAATGCACTAAAAGTATGGAATTATAGCCAAACATCACCGCCATCCATCAACACCGGGGGAATAATATACACACCGTAAATATAGCCAGCAGGTTGTGTTCTTGTGAGAAATGGTCCATCTACCATATGCCGTGCTCACATGTCATGAAGTGCTTTCAACATACAGGTTTAGGGCCAACCAACTATGTTGATAGGCAATACAGTGTTGCCGCATACTTAAACACGTATAGTGGGCAGTTGCAGCCAGTGGGTGCTGAGCAATATTGACCACCGGAATTATTTAAAATGATGTGTAACAAGGACTATTTGCGTAAGCTACAAGTGCAAAAAAGAACGCGTATACAGAACCAAATGGATGTTGGTGATACAGTTTATGCGCGTAAATATGGCATATGCTCGCAAACAGAACACGACCGTCGTAAATGTCCTTCAGCTGGTTTAGGTGGCGGTGGTAATCCAGCTCCTGGTGGAAGTACATCTAATGTGCCCAACAATCAAGGATACACGTAGTGTTTTATTTTCGTAATGTGGTTGTAATAAGTGTATGTACTTGTTTATGTTGCAAGATGTATCAAATAAAATAATATTTCCATTGTTGTTAAATCTTATTGATATTTTGACATTTTTCAGTTGAGTAAATTAATGAATTTCT